TTCTTGGGACATATAAGAAGCGGGAAACAGACAGATCAACTTTTTGCAGATCTGCCCAAGTCCTTATGCAGCATCACCCTCAACGTGCTGTCTCGAAGAACCAACGATCCGTCTGCGCGCGTCTTCCGCCTCAGCTTTGCACGCAAAAAGACGCCGCAGGTTTCTGAACGCGCCTCACGGTCGAACGCCAGCTCCTCCGCTAGTGGCGCTACGCGCGTCTTCAAAGCGCCCCCTATAGACCTTTCCAGCGGCAGTCTCGAACGAAGCGATTTACAGCGCGTGTCCCTGGTTTTGAGAGTGTACGTCAGTGTTGGCCGACTGCGCTGAGCTGTGGAGTTTCTCGTCAGTAGGCTGTGGCAGCCTGCGTTGGCGCAATTCCGGACGCTGGTGGCGGCTGAATTGCCGCGTTTTCTTTTTTTCTTGTATTCTGTGGCGAGCATAATTTATAGAGGTCTTTAAGAAAGCCGTGCTCTATTTTTGGGAACAAAAACAAAGAAATGAAAGCTGTTTTGGTGAGTCCGTGCGCGACAGTACAAATGCAACTGGAATGTTTGTTTCATTTTATGTTCATTGTTTTACGGCGCCGTAAACTCAGCCGTGTCAATCTATAAAGGTCAAAATATTTGACCACACAGGATATCCGTACTGCAGGGATATTCCGCGCCCACAACATAAAATTCAATGAGTCTCATCAATTGAACAAAAAATATATTGTACGTACCCCTCGGTGCCGCGTTATCCGAACAGGATTTGAGAAAGGTCTCAAATAACACAGAATGTCCAATATACAGTGTCGACGATAGTCACTTCACGACGATCGGACGGAATCCGGCGTGTTTTGGGGAACATGTAGAAGAGAGCTCCTTTTTTGCACAGCTTCATAGCAAATGAACGAACGTGCTTATTATGTCGCCACACCCCGGACCCGACCCTATCAGCTAGTTTTTGCGAAGACACGGAACACAGCCTGGAAGGCTTTTTGGAGATTATCTCGACGGAAATAATCCTCCAAGCACGTCGAACTGCCTGCGTCGCGGGCTGCTTGACGTTCGCTCTTTTCGTTCGTTTCCTGCGAAGGCCGAGCGGGCTACGAGCCCTGGTATTCCCTGGTTCTCACAGTGGAAGATAACATACAAAGGGTAAGCATCCTAAACAGGCGAATAAAGTAAAAACTTCCAAGAAAAGCCGGTGAACTCCGAATACAAAATGCAGGTGGGGAGTCACGCTGACCGGGTTTCCACAGCTCAGGCGGGTGCCAGAAATTTCTGGCTGATAGGGGTCGCTCAATGGACCTTTTTCCAGTAAGCATCTGCGCACGCGCACACCCTTTCCACTTGACCTTGACCGCCCTTTTCGCCATTTTTGGGGGGCACTGTTTTCTTGCGACACTAATCTGTTCCTATGGGAGAAGGCGAGTCCGGTTGCCCTCCATTTGTAGTAGGCGGCGAAACCGTCATGGGGCACTCCTTACTGGAAAAAGGTCCATTCGCAAAATGGCGGCGGCCAGAGCGCTCTTTTTGGAAAGGTCTATACACCAACTCAACACTGTTACGTCACGGCGCGGTGGTGGCGCGTCGGGCGCACTTCCGGTCTGGGGCTGTGGGCGGAAGTCGCCATGCGGACGTGCATTCCTATGTTGTTTTGAAAGAAAACGAACAAAAACCTGCCTTCTCGTCAAACCGCCGCGACTGGGGCTTTACCAAATGAGTCGGCTAAGGTTTGAAGGTAAGTCTTCATCCGTTTTGTACCTGCTCGCTTCGTCCGAGAACGTGGATATGTGCCGTGAAAAGGGAAAACCAGACGCCTTCGGACCATGATTGCTTGTGCGAGGACTTTGGGCTGAATTCACGGATATTTGTGGTCGTCAGATTTATTTGTTTCGTTCCAACAAGAACGCGGGAAAACCGCCAGGTTGTACGGGCCACCTGCAGACTACGTTCAGTGCGTCTTCAAGTTCAAACGGCTGCCTGATCGTTCGAACTGTCTTCTTCTCTTTCCAATTTTTCTGCTTGTCGTCTGCTCGTTCAAACAACAGCGGCCCGTAGACCGAACGTTGACCCAGTAATTGCGATAAGAAGTAAGTGCAAGCCCCAAAAGACTTTTAAGTTTGAAGGTGGGTTGGATTAAGTAGGCTCGGTGTAAACAGTAGAAACAGGGAGATGTTGATCATTGTAACCAGCGGTCATCATCAACTTGTTATGCCTGATTCACTTGGCCCGATTCTGCTTGAAAGTTTCAGTATCGACGTCGACCATCTCATAAACGGTCCATGCTTTTGCAGCCCGAGCGACGTCACAACTGAAAATAGCGAGCAGAATCTCATCATGCGAATGAGACTTTAGCGCCTATTCTATACGGAGTCTATGGTCGCCGCAAAATGGGCGCTAAAGGGGTGTCCAAACAGGACACTACAAAACGCACGACCCCGACAAATCGTGAAAATTGAAGCGGGCGCGTCCGCTTCAATTTTCACGATTTGTCGGAGTCGTGCGTTTTGTAGTGTCCTGTTTGGACACCCCTTAAACGCCGGAATATATCCCACAAACCCAACACCACTTAGAATAATCAAAGCCTCCGCCTCGCCTCTTCTCCCTTCATGAAACGTCATCATAGTCGGATCGCGCCAACTCGGCTACTGGGCCCGAGTTCGACCTTCGACGTGGTGATTGAACACGAGCCCCGGCCGAACACTGATGCAGCACTTGTGCCCAATCTCAGGCCCCGCGATCTGGCAGTGATGACGGTGCGAAGGCTCTGTGCTTGTCTAAGTGGTGTTGCCAAACCTCGGAAAATGACATTGTCACACGCAGGTTCGGTGTATAAAGTCGCACTTTATTCTTCCGCTTCTTCATTCGTGCGTGAACACTACAACATGCTCAAAACAATAAGAATTATCACAGGAGCGTTCAGTGATGTTTACGAATATCAAACTTTCATGGTCTTAACAAAACGCTGGGTATGCACGAAATAAACGCTTGTTTTGTGTTGTTTACTTAAATAGGAACTACTTACAATATTTAAAAATACAACGAAACAAAAAGACGTACGCGAGCTTCAGCGGGCCGTTATGCACTCATAAAATATAACCCAAACAGCGGGTAACGAGTATGACACTGAATCAAAGCTATGAGTATCTCAGTATCTCCTAGCAGGTGAAGAGCCCGCCATGTGTGATTTCAAGGTTTGGACCAGCTGTTCGGTCTCTTTGGTAACACCACCTGTACATAATACAAACAAACATTTGTCAGAACTGCGTGTTTCATCATGTATCTACAAAATAGAGATATTAACTTATGTTTTCGCTGAGTTGGGAAAATAATACGGTCGTATGATAACGGTGACGAAGGAAACTTTGCATTTAGTTCAACACTTGAAGTCCATTTTGACTGCACAGCAGCCTCTTGGTCGTTTCTGTTTTTTTTTCTGTTTTTTGCATGTGCACCCAATGTAAACTACTGGAAGAAAAAACAAACAAATAAAGCTACTTGAAAACGAAACCAGTCATTTTCTTCGTCTCCCCACGTCGATATAGCATTCCCGATCCCGTCCGGAATTGTCTATTCGGGTCAAATTGCAACAACGCAAAAAAAAAAAGAAAAAAAGAAGAGGAAAATCAATAACGCCACAAAACAAACGTAACAGCAACCCAGTTCACACACATCGGAACGCATTTCTCCCGCTGAAGCTTCGCGCGCAGGAGCTGGGTCACTTCACACGCACCGAGACACGACGCACAAAACAATGATCTCGAGTAAAACACATAATCCTGCACAAAACTGAGGCTGCTCACTATTTACACACTATGTCGCCGCCTCCCAAATCCTAGAGGCATTTGCACCGTGGCGGCCGCTCGAACATATACCGGGATGCATTGATTAAACGATTTCTATTCCGCTCAGTTCAAGCGTTGTCTGAATTCGGCAGCCTCTCTGGTAAGTATCATGCTCAGAAGGCCTCGTCTCGCACACCCGTTGCTAATATCTGGGGGATCGTGATCCCTGTGTGCACAAACCAGGTTACATGTCCTTTGAGGTTCACGTAAGTGTATGCGTTTCTGATCCAGTTCATATAGCCCTATACATCCACCGAATGGTGAGCTCCTGGTGAATCAAATAAGAAAAGAAAAACGTATGGTAGATAATTTGGAGCGAGGATATGCCCTTTTTGTGTTATTATTGATTTCCACAAACCTTTTGCAGCCCTGAATTTTTCTGCATTGTGCAATTTGCTCTGAACGCCAATTTTCGAGTGATACAGTTAAGACCGCGTGTCCTAAAGTTTGTGTCCCGTTCAAGTTAGGAACATTGCCAAGCTGGGCAACAAAAATATAAGCATGTAACTCTAGATGAAAAGTCGCAGGCAACACATAAATTCATTTATTTGATATCTTAAATATATGATTTTAATATTTGACCGACTGAATTTTTCACTACGTCTTTCTTTTTCTGCTAAACAAAACCTACTTCTGCACAGCAGCAAAATGTGCAGTCTTTACGAAGCAAAGAGATTTTAATTAAGGTGTAGACTAAGAAGGTACGAGTACATAAGATATCGACACTTTTAACGCAAGTTAGCTGGGATCTTTGAATTAATTATTTCTTTTTCGGCTCTCCTTCTGACTAACACGCAGGCGTAGCAGAACCTTTATTTTGGAGCTGACAGTAGTTCATACTTTGATTCTCCAGTAATATATAAATCACAACAAACAGAATTTCCAAGAGAACTACGTAGCAAGCAACCTGAACTCAAGTTACTGTTCGCAAGATGTCTGACTGGTTGTTTTTCTATGTCAATGGCGCAACCATCCAAGGAGCGTAATAACAGATCTCTGAATTCAATCCTATAGGCTGGGTTTATCGCCATCACGTAAAGGAGCGCGTGCGTCAGACCATGGGCAATCGTTGACACGTTTGCTGAATGGCCAATTTTTATTTTACCCGCCCCTTTTCAGATAAAGATCTTTCGTTTTGTTGCTGCTGGGCTTCTCAGAGGCGCTGTAGTATTTTTTTTTTATTGGCGGCTATAAGGTTCAGTGGGATGAAAAGGCTGGAAACGTTTTCTTTGAATACAAATTAGTCATTGAAATTACAGCGGGTAAAGGTGTTTTTTTGTATGTGTATACGTTTGTCTGTTCTCCTCCAGTGCAGTTATTTAAAATTTCACGCAAAGGCGTTTACTCTCTTAAATTATTACAAAAGACATGGTGCACGACTTACGAATACATAAAGAGACTGTGTTTAGATGTGTAAATTCACATTCGATGCTGCAAGATGGATGTCGTTCCCTCACGTCGTTCATAAGCTTTTGCTTTAAACAATAAAAAAGCTATTCGGATTTTAGCTATTGTAGCATTCATAAACGTTTATCGATGTAGCGTGCATTGAAAGGTGATCTGTGTAAATTTGAATGCTTTGTCGTAATGAAACACGATTGCCTTTCTGTCATATGTGCAACTTCTATAAAGGTCGTGACATTCTTGAATCTACTATACACTTAGAAACTTACGCAATTTGTTGAGCGTAGCTAATGTTAAACCCACTTCGCATAGAATCCTACGTTACTTGGAAATAAATTTAAATTATTTTCATCTGAAATAGTGTGACACTTTTGTTGTCGTCAAGCCTTTTAGAAACGCCAGTAGGACAGTACTTTCTGGCAACATAATGAGTACACTTCTATGCAAATCCCGACACGTAACAACCATATAATCCATAACCCCGGAATCTTCGTTTTTTTCCAGACAGCCTCAAGGTGGTTAACACTGATGATATAACAGCCTAGCTTTATTAAATAGTTTATCGTGTTAAAATTATTATCGCATATCTTGGTAGGAAAATGAAGGGGTGCTTTATATACCAAAAAAATCTAAGTACTGATCTCCCGGAGCGAATATACATTGAATAATCGAATAAAGAAGTTATCACTTGTTTGTGCTTGCGTCCCTGTGTGTTTTAAAACAGGACGATAAAAGTACTTCTATTCTTTCGAGGTATTTGATGACCAACTGCTACACTGTTTAGAATCGCATTGTAGAGTTACGGCTCCAGGAGCAAGTTTCCGTGAATATGAGGACATCCAATATTGTCACAAAACGAGTTGCTTGGATGCATCTAGACTCGAATAGGACAGATAAAAAATACATTCTTTTGGTTTTCGCATATTAAGTTGCGAGGCTAGCGCACGTGGATTTTCTAGCACCGCAAATGCTTGTGATTTCTTCTCCAGGTGCGCTTTCATTGAAGCTTGTATATTTACAAGCGTCATAGAACCGCATAGGAATCCATGAATCAGATGTATATACAATATCATGGTTTTCAATAATTGAAAATAGCCGTGATAGCTGTGACCGGGCAGAATTGCTCACAATTGCCTTATGACAGAGTCGCGCGTCAATGGGGAAAATAAATAAACCTTAGAGAACAATAAACGGTTGTGAATATGCACAGATATGGGCTGCTCTTGTTACAACAGCAAACATCTCTTTCATTGACATTGTCTTACCGCTCAAAACGAAAACACAGCTTTTCTGATGTTATTTCGCATCTCGAAGTAAAAAGGGATTCTATCGCCGATTAAAAAACGAACTCGCTTGTATGTGAATGACATTGGGTGCTTGCGAACTAACAAAACAAAATACACATCTTCACTTGAACTTTAGTTTTGCCTTTGAGATCATAGACTTCGTTCACCGCTGCATCGCCACTCGCATGAAAGGGGTTGCAAAATTAATCTACTTGTGAAAAAACGTACCTAATTTTGAATATTCTATGTGACGTTTGTGTGGCGATTGTAGGGATGACTCAAGAAAATCAATAGAATAACGCGACATAAAACGCGAATAAAGGCGCTGGAACATGGTGTGATTTTATGATTAATTATAGGTTCAAACAATTAAGTAGATAAAACCACTCTGCTTTCTTTTTGGCAGAGGCGTTAGTTCGCTTTGTTCATTAAGTACTCGTTTGTTTCTATCGTAACACATAGTGTCAGGGGCACAACACAAACGCGTTGGATTGAATCACAACTATGCTGCGTTTGAAAATTAAGAAATAATGCTTTGCTTTTTTTCACTCCTCTTTGCTTCATAAGCCCAAAAGAGCTATCTGAAGAGCCAAAGTGCGATACAGGCCATGACATTACGACACCTACGTTCTAGCACACTTTCATAATGCCAACGTCAAGAGACGTGCTTAGAGAAACGGAGATAGAGAGCTAAAGAAAAAAAGACCGAATGCGAAGAAAGAATGAGTTTTCACAGCAGCACAAAAATGTCTTAACAGTACCAAAGGCACCAAAAGAAATCTAAAGCACAGAACAACTGGAGCTGCGACCTTCGTAAGCCTTCTCACGCTGCCTTTGGACAAACTCACAATTAAGTAGTTATCACTCGGCTTGGTCCTGAACAACATACGCGGTAAAAACAGCGGCACAAATTCGCACAAAGGGTTGGCTGTTAGAGATAATGTGCTGCAAGAAAATAGCTTAGAAGGAAAGCACGGTTATATTCATTAAAAAAAGTGATTGTAATCTTACTTTAAGCGAGCAAACTTGAATGACCAAATCCGTCTCGCGGCCATATAGACGCTTTGAGTGGTACCAATTTCTGTGGACACTAAAGGCATAAGCATGAAATTGCAGCTCAAAATTTGGTCGTTAATTGTGCCATGAGGACTCGGCAAGAGTGATGAATCCCTGTTTGGAATTGGCGTGGGACGAAACAAAGAGCAGCCCAGTGAGAGGAACCTCCAAAGCATGACACCGTACGCGGTTCCGCGCGGTGCTTTGCTTTGTGAGTGGCTGTGCTCGCCAAGAGACACTGAGCGGCGTTGCCACAAAGGAGGCAAGATGAACGCAGGTGGCGACTTGAACGCAGAGGCGACTGCAGCGTCGCCAACGCACTGTCCGACGAGTTACCCGTAGAAAGGCTGTCTCTGCACATGGAAACCATAGAAGGAATCGACAGTTCTTGTGAGAACCTTTTTGGACTTTCCGAACGGATCGCGGCCTGAGCTCACGGTCCACTCGCAGTCTTGTGGATGTCCTTCTTGAAACTGCTGAGATCTTGTATGTTGTCCAAAAGGGTCTTGTGTATGGTGTGGATCTTGGCAGCATCCATGTCTTTCTTGAGCTCTTCCATGTCCCGTTTGAGCTTGGCGCGACGGTTCTGGAACCAGGTGATCACCTGGGCATTGGTGAGTCCCAGAGACTGCGCGATTTCGTCCCGGTCTGCGGGCGACAGGTATTTCTGGTAGAGGAACCTTTTCTCCAGCTCGAAGATCTGGTGGTTGGTGAACGCCGTTCGCGACTTCCGCTTTTTCTTCACGGGCTGCCGGCCGTTGAACGATCCGCCGTTCTCCCGGGCGGCATCTGCACACAATGTAAAAAAAAGGAGCCAGGTGAGCTTCCAAATGATTCACTCTTTGTTAACAGCCATGCCGGTTGTTCGCAGTCGGCTAATGAGGTATCTGAACACTAACGACCCCGGTAGGATCTGTCTGAAGCTCGCGCACTGTTGAAAAATCTTATCTCTACTCTTGTTGCACGTAGTTTCCATCGTTTTTGTTTGTGTAGTTCGTTTTTACGGCATACCCAATAATGAATGACCTTTTGGGGTAGGCGTTAAGAAACTGAGATTCCGCAAACAAAGCATTGGTCATTAATTGTGCGCTCGAATAACATCATCAGTAGACCAATTAATTAAACCTAAATGAGCTACGTTTCATTAATAAGCACTCGCTCATGCTTCATCTTTCCTTGACTGTCATCCAATAACTAAAAGGAATAAAAATTCCTAGTCAGGCAAGTACGAAGTTGACCGATCGGTCAAAGAGTAGAGCCCCGGAGGCTCTTTTTGGTATACCATGCCAGAACTTCACACCGCACGCTTTTCCTTTTAAAACGATGTACTCATCGTTTTAAAAATATATTCTTTCCTCTCTGTATTGTTTTGGTTTGTACGTCCGAGCGACTCAGTCGATGTTTAGGTCAGTACTATAGCTAGTCCGAAAGCCAGCCCGAGAAGTTTCAAGATCTACTTGAACCGCGCCACCGATTTCCCAAGGAAAAAAAAAAGAAGAGGGGGACGAAGGAGGACAGAAGTCGCAGCATCGGATCCCCTTTAGAACCTCAACTTGGCAGGCGACATGTTAATTGAGCGCGAAGAGGGTCGGGGGCGTACTCTCTGTGAGCGAAAGGACACGAGCAACGGTGTGCCACACAGACCGCGGACAAGGGCCCCACCGTCGCCCGCGCACTGCCTGCTGCTGAACCCGCACAGGCGGCGGTTCCACTTTTAGAGAACCGCCTGATTTATGGAGCACTAGCGCACAAGGGACAGCCGCGAACACGCCCTGTTCTGGTCAAGAAGGTCGCCAAGAGACGCCGCATCAGGCCACGATTAGCGGGGCCCTTGTTCAGCTCACGCGCGGCCCTTTTCCGACGAAACCGGGAGGCTCCAGCCGCTCCAGTCTTCACAGCCCCAGGTACCCCACTCCGTGCCTTCTATTGAAGGGCCCCCCTTCCCATTTTCGCATTGTGCTGGTCCTCGGCAACTTTCCTCAGTGATGTATCGTCTGACTTTAGACGATGGGGGCCAGTGGCTGCTTTGGAGACGCGGTGAAATACCGGACAGAGAGGCGCTAACCTATACTCTCGAATCGGCTCTCGGTGAATAGCGCCTTTGAAAGTAACATCCAGCGTTGCACGCGGCAATTTGTGCCCGGGGGAAGGGGAATCCGTGCTGTTTTGTTGCCCTAACGACACTTCTATGAACTCGGCGCGGGTTCATCATCTGACGTGGGGAAGGCGACCAGGCGAAGCGGATATGGTCACCTTCCGGCACTGTGACAAATTCGGCGCTTTGACGTAGGGGGCTTGTGATCTCTATCGTTGTCGAGTGAGTCGCTCTGGAGAGGACGTGTGAATTCATTTTACTCTTGGTTACTTTTTTGTGTGCCTGTGGATCTGGAGCGATATTCGATGCCGGAATTGACAGGAGGTTCCTTGTAGCGTTGAATTACGTAATGGTTCTGTAGAGAGCAAGGGCGTTCACTTTACATGTTTCGATGTTCGTATAAACTGGACCGTATACAAGTTTTCGCAAGGTATAATGCTACATTCCGGTTTCTGTCTTAAGTAGTAAAAATAAGAAATGTTGAATGAATTACAGTGGATGAGTGAAGGCAGAGAGAGTGCACAGCCCATTGCTCAAATATTTCCGACTTGTTTTTGGGAAACAGATGGGTCCTAAAGTCTATTATTTATCATTCTATAAACTTTATTTGTCTGGCGATTTTTTCTTGCGTAACAACTGTCGTGTTTTTTTTTATCACTAATAATATATTGTGGTCACTCATGAGTGCCTTAAGCTCCCTCCGTTTATATATTGTATTGTATGTATCCCTCGGTCATGAAGCTGTTTATATAAAGAGAGAAAATGCATTCCACAAATCGCCGAATTTTGGGGTAAATAAACAGGATGACGTGTGTGAAGTCTTGGTTAAATACTGATTCTTTGAGACCTCTTCTTAATCTACAATTCACGTTAGAGTATAAGCCGGAGATGGTGAAAATTTTGCTTTTGCTTGTTAGATCTATTTTTAATGATCTACTGGATACAGAAGAGTGTTAAAATTTTAATTTCGAAAGCAAAGCTTTTTGTTTTGTTTTTTTTGGTTGGGGGGAGTGGCTTTGTGATTAATCGCAGTCTTTTTTTTTCAATAAGTATGTAGCAGTAAGTTAAAACGCTCCCACGTCAATGCGCTGGAGCGTTTAAGTGATTATTATTAAATTGCATTGCCAATCATCTCAAGATATTACTTTTTATCACTTTAAGTCGTTGGATTTCCACCACTGAACATAACATCGCAAAAGAATGCTCCGCAGTTTAGTATTAGTTAAATAGATCGTGCAGCAACTATACAATATCATAGCAGGTTGATGATAGCTATAGTTCGAAAGTAAAGAAACAAAAAAAATGTGCAGGGTGAATGCGCTATAGGATATTGGGGATGGAGCATATTTTAATCTGGTGCTGAAAGAGCAAGAAATTTCGATCCAGCATGATACAGCTTCAACCTTAAATGAGGCATCGAATCCCTCAAATACACAAAACGTCAAACATTTTAGTTTGCAGATCTTCGTCGTGAAACCTGTTTCTTCAGATGACAGCGTCGTTCCAAATTTGTTGCACACGCACGTACGTTGATTGCCATCGACGAAAACCATATGCTCGATGGTAAAGAGTATGCTCAGAATTTCCAGCATTCAGAGTATGAAATCAACAGTAGTCAGTAACAATTCGCCAATTCTACACTGGGAACTTGAGTAGCAATATTGTAAATATTAGTGTCTATTAGTTAATAAAAAATAATAATGTGCTATACAGCTCGTTACAAGTTGCCTGGAGTGACACGGCGAGGACAGTACTACCTACACATGCACCAGTATAAAAGGTAAACAACCATTTCCCGCGGGAAGAATTCTACAATTGTTAATTTTTACTATTTAAGAGGAAATCACTGGCAGTTACTTCCAGTGATATTGCACCGTCTACGTGCGTTAAGCACGTAGACGCAGCGTCTGTGGTTTCTTCTGGAAATAGAGATAAATCTCAAGTGAACATTCGGTTACAAACGCTGAACCTTGTGCGGCCTTTACGTCAGAAAAGTTTCTAGTCTTTCTCTGGAATCAACAGATTCCTTTTTTTTTTTTTTTTTACTCTGCCGTCAGTATCTCGACTCTAGTTGTAGAGAGCTCGCTATCCGGGGTTTTTCAGATTAATCCAACTGTTGCGCGTTATTACGCAAGTTCTAAACGAGAACGATAATTGCTCATTTGTTCATTAATTAGGAGCTCCGAGATTTCTGTGGCACGCCAAACCACACATAAAAAAAAAAAGAAAGGAACAAGCGAACGTCTTTACGGTGAAGGTTCATAGACACGTAAGCATAAGTAGCCCGGACCGGAATAATGCCAGTACAATTAAAATAATCTCGGCTCCTTCCTTCGAGCACCTCACTTTGTTCCGTTTTATATCATGTAAAACAGTCTTTTTGTCGCTTTACCTGCCCCTCGCTTTCTCAAAAACGTCGGTGTCTCACGTGGCACCGTAATTACCGTCTCGTGCTCGAGCACATAATGCGAGCCAAAATAATGTCCACTTCCTTTTCTCGCCGTGCCTGGTTGGCTGGAATTACTCGGCGTAGCGACTTGGAGCCGCGAGAGCGGAGCTGTTTTTTTTCCCGTCCAGAGCCGAGGATTGCACTTATCTCCGCCAGCTTTGCGCACCCGTCCGACTTCGGATAAGGTATTGAGTCGTCCCTCATTAGGAAGATCTCGGGACTCTTGATGAGCACTCCTTGTTATCCAACTCGCTGTGTGTCCGCGTGTGTAAGATTCGGCAGTAGTTAGAGAAAGGCCGTTTATTCGCATTGTAGTTCTCCCCTTTTCTTCGAGGTTCGTTGAAGAAGGATGCTGCTTCGAGTAATGACGCGCCATTTACTCCCTCCTCTCTCTCTTTCTCTCTCGCTTTCGTTCCCGTTTCGTGTGAAGCACTGTCACCTTCATTTCGCCTATCCCATAATTGTATACGCGTAGTCATGACGCCAATCAACGTCAACTATAAAGTTAGCGCCGGGGTGAAAGACCCCGAATCAAATTAGGCTGCCGTGTGTGCGTATCGCGCGCAAACAATGGCGTTGGTGAACACATGGCCGGCCCTAAGAGGCGTATTTTTTATTTCGTACATTGAAAAAGGCTTTAAACGAGACATACACGCAATATCTTTAGCATAATTTTTCACACGTGCTATACAAAAGAGAGAGAGAGAGAGAAAAAAGAAGAAAGCTCGATGCTTGTAAGTAAAGGAAAACTTCAGAAGCGGAGGCCGTTCACCCATTGTCCGTGCTCATGAGCGGAAATAGTAATAAGAATATGAATCCGGACACAGTGTCTAATGAGCTTGTTGAAAGGAGGCAGGAGCAACGAATTTATCCAAGTTTACCAGTCGCAAAGACGCAGTCTCCGTTTCACGTTTCAGCGAACGTTTTCGCACATTGTTTGCCTTTCTAAAGACACAGGCCTGTCTTCTTGAGCGACTCAAGGCATGGCCTAAGCCCCGAAAAGACTGGTTGTCTTGCGCTTTGCCCTTGTAAGGTGTGCTGTCGGATATTTTGCTTCCTGACCACGGGCTCTAGTTTTGACTGAGCAGATGGATACGAAACAAGAATGCAACCACCCAAACACAGCACTTCCTCTGGCTACGTGCCTGCCTCAAGCTAGTCCCCTCTGTGACGTTCATATTAGCAGCAACAGCGCGTTACAAACTAGGACAAAGGGAGAGGACACATAGAAGGACTAAATCAGCG